GGACGTTAGATAATACTATACTATAAGAAAAAGACTTCATATAGAGGATGGAGAAAGAACTGGCTTTTTTTTTTTTAGAGAAAATAAAAAAGAAGACACATCAATGCAGAACGTATGGGATACAATGAAGGCATATGCCAGAGGCTTGATAATAGATTATACAAGGAAAAGAAATATCACAAAAAGACTAGCCTCTAAGACATAAGAGGATGAGTATAAAGAACTTGAAAAAGAGTTACAGAAAATGCCACAGAAAAAGAACATTAAGTTAAAAATGGATATAATTAAGCATAAAATGGGACTAATGGAAAAAGAAGAACTAGCACAGAAAATCAGAGGTGCAAAACAGAACTATTTTGAAGATGCAAACAAACCAGGTAGATGGTTGGCATATAAACTGAGAAAGGAGAAAGAATCAAGGAAAATATTGCAATTAATAAATGATCAAGACCAAGTTTGTTATGGAAGTAAAGAGAAAAAGGAAATTATACAAGACTACTATGGGAAACTATACACACGAGAATATTGACAAGGAAAGTGTTAAACAGTACTTACAAAATGCTAACCTACCCCAGATACCTAAAGAGATTGAAATAATGTTAGAAAGTAATATAACGATGATGGCATTAACTGAAGCACTTAAGAAGCAAAACAATGGAAAGGCACCAGGCCCAGATGGACTTCCGGCAGAATTCTACAAAACAACTACAAGAATAGTTGAACCTTCCATTGCTAGAAGTTGTTAAAGAAGAAGATACCTAAATCATGTTCAGAAGCTTATATTACACTCGTCCCAAAAGAGGAGGCCGACCCATTACAAATCGAGAACTACAGACCTATTTCCTTACTAAATGCAGATTGCAAAATTTTTGCTTCAATATTGGCAGAAAGACTTAAAAAATACCTGAATAATTTTATCCACCTTGATCAAAATGGATTTCTGCCAAAGAGACAAATCAAAGACAATATAAGAGTAATCTTGGACACTTTGGAATACGATGAGGCACACCCTGAAAAACAAATGGCTTTGATATTTTTAGATGCACAGAAGGCATTTGATATGTGAATTGGTGATTCATGTTATTACAGCTGGAACAGATGGGCTTTGGTAAAAAATTTATCCAAGCAATAGAAGCTATATATCATAACCAAACGGCAAAGGTAATGATAGAGGAAGAACTCAGATTTCTGTCTGAATAATACTGTATATTCAAATGGATGTTGGCTTCCATCAGGCTCGGGGTGTTTTTACTTCACCATCACTTTTGGCGACACCATACTGGTTACATATTTGTATAATGTGACCTGTGGTCCCAGAAAATTAGTTCAACAAATTTTAATCATGACTAAGTTTGTGTAATTATTAAAAAGTGAAGGAATTTACTGCTCCTCTTTCAGTTTGGAGCCTTAATTTGAAAGAGAACAGATCAGATGCCTTATAAAGCAGTTTAGCTGATACTTTGCAGAATCTGCTGCTACTATATGTTGCTCTCAGCACCGTGGAGTTATGTATCCTGGCTAAAAGGATTACTAATATAAGTAAGATAAACCTCTTTGTTTCCAAAAATACATACTTTATAATGTTGTCCAGTTTCCTATTGAACTTGCATCCGATTTTATAGCCTTTTTTGCCATGGTTAAAACACGGCAAAAAGTGAATCATTGCAGTTGTTAAGTGAATTGCACTATCAGTAAGTAAATCCTGCTTCTCCCACTGACTTTACTTGTCATAAGTCAGGTGGAAAGGTTGCAAATGGTGATCATGTGACCCCAGGGCACAGCAACCATTGTAAATAGATGCTGGTTGCCAAATGTCTAAATTTTGATTATGTGACTGGGGGAATGCTGCAAAGGTCATAAGTGCAAGGACCGGCTTATAAGTCACTTTTTTCAATGCCATTGTAACTTTGAACAGTGCTAAACAAGTGGTCGTAAATCAAAGGCTACCTGTACTTAGATTTATACTTGTATGATTTCCAAGAAACTATATTGCAGCTAAACATTTGTGTTCAAACAATATGGTTGTAGCATAGCTAAAACAAGGTAAGATTTGGGCAGAAGTACTGAAAATCTATCTAATTAAGCCAATAAATCAAAAACAAAAGAAGTTGATAAGTACTGTGTAGTGATTGAATTAACTCAAGAAGTCAATCTAAAAGGTGTAGACTTTTAACTATAGCTATAAAAAGAAGGTTCTTGGTAACAAATCAATGAGTTGGGGTTTAAAGTGGTATTTATTACATATTTGTTAATCTGCTTTAATGCCAAGTTTAGGTGATATTACTTGCTTTGGGACTCTTGGCTGTAAATAAAATTGATATTTTAAGAGAGCCAGTTTGGTGTAGCAGTTAAGGCATCAGGCAATTGAGAGCCTGGACATGAAACCAGCTAGGTGACCCTAGGCCAGTCACTCTCTCTTAATCCTAGGAAAAAGGCAATCTATATATATAAAAGCCAAGTACCGCTCACTCATCACAAAATCTCCAGAACCATAAAGTCTACAAACTTGAAATTTGGCACATACGTTCCCCTTGGCTTCTAGGTGCTTTCTAAGAAAGGATTTTTCAAAATGACCATCAGATCATTACTATTTCTTAATACAATAATTAACACACTCTGATGCTAAGGTTTTCTACTCCCCTTCCCCACCTGAAAAGAACTGTTCCAACCTCACAAGGTTGCGGAACAGCAGTAGGTAGCATTCTCTGCCATCACGCTCCATTATCCTATAGCTGTAAAAGTCAGCAGCAGATATGGTCTTCTTGAGAGGAACCTTGGTCTTTACGTCGTATTGATATAATAGCCATCTTCTCCATGGCAGAACATCAGAGGGTACTGGAGAGCCCAGAGTAGTCTGGGATTCTTTACAGTACTAAACTACCTTGCCAAAATGTCTATGCCTTCCACCTATGGAACTGCTTCTGGACTCAAGGCTGCAGGAGCAATATTCCCTTATGTGTTTCAATCACTGATCACCACTGAGCCAACGGATTGTGAACCGGATTTCTACATAGCCCAATCACTGCCAGTTGCCTCACATTCCATTACCTCAGTTCAAACTGGCAGACATTCCACTCCTTCACTCAGAGCGGTCTGGGGCTCCTTACAGTACTAAACGGTGGTGCCTCACCAAAATGTCTATGCCTTCCAGCTATGGAACTACTTCCAGACTCAAGGCAGTAGGAGCGATATTCCTTTATGTGTTTCAATCACCGACCACCACTGAGCCAACAGGTTGTGAACCGGATTTCTCCTGCATAGCCCAATCACAGTGTCATCGCGAAGCACCGGCACCATCTAGTAGCAATATATTTCCAAAGAACTTGGCAAAATTGCGTAGACTTGCCCTGGAGTTGAAAAAAAAAAAAACGATTCAAAGATGCGCCTGTATGCACACACCTTATTTTAAAAACATTTCAAGGTTGAACCACTCCCAACTTCCCACCCGCCAATTCTGGAAGTGGCAACTCCAATGCTAATGCAGCTCTACTGATAAAGTATAGTAGTCATGGTTAGGTCTGGATGGTTTACAAGTTGAGTATGAAACAAAAATACCTCTATGGTCTCTGAGAAAAAGGCAAGATATAAAAATGTAGAAAGAATTAAGAGAAGTTAGACAACCTTGAACTACGCCAGCTAAGATTGGACTTAAGCATAGTACATAAAATCATATGTTACAACGTCTTGCCAGTTAATGAATATTTCAGCTTTAACCACAGCAACACGAGCACGAGCACACAACAGATACAAACTTAATGTAAACCACTCCAGACTCGATTGCAGGAAGTACGATTTCAGCAACAGAGTAGTCAATGTCTGGAACTCACTACCTGATTCTGTTGTCACCTGCTCAAACCCCAACTCCTTTACCCTCAAAGTAACCTCTATTGACCTCACCCCATTCCTAAGAGATCTGTAAGGGATGTGCATAAGTGCACCCTCGTGCCTACCGTCTCTGTCCTATTGTCCCCAAATATTAGTTCCTATTTCTTATATTTAAAGTTATGTTTATTCCTATTTCTATTGTATTGTAAGCTTTTGACAAAATAAATAAATAAAATAAATAAAAATAAAGTTGGTGGAGCTCCGCTTGGAAGAATAAGGCTGCAGCGTTGTCATTCCGATTTTCGATATAAACAAACAGAAGCCGATTTGGATTTTCCAACCGAAATTCCGCACACATTTCTACAGCAAATATCAATCCCTTCAAATTACTTTCAATATCTCTCATTCTCACAAACGTATCTCTCACTTAGGTAAACACGTTGCTGTTTAACCCCCCCCCCCCACCATATAAAACTCGGGGTTCACCAGTTAAGCAGAAGAGAACGTCAGGATCTCTCTATATGACTTCCCCCCACTCCCTTAAAGGAATATATTGCTGTCGACGCAGTCACAGCTTCAGTTCAGTTGGCCGCCCTTTGTCACCCGCAGAGAAGAATCTGAAAGAAGCAAAAGTTAGGAACCGCGCACCAGCGTATATGACAACAGCAGCAAACTGCTGACTGAAGTTATTGGGACTGTCGCTCGCGTGTTCCCAATTGCAGTCCCAGGATCTCGGAGAGGTTCGGAAGAGAGAGAATAAGCGTGAATCAGAAAATAAGAGAGAGCGTGCATAAAGCGCACCGCCGTGCCTACCGTCCCTGTCCCATTGTTTCTTTTATTTTTCTTATATGTATCCCTGTATTCATAACTATGTTTTTACTTATACCTATTATCTTGTAAGCAATTGACAAAAATAAATAAATAAATGAATGAATGAATAAAAATAAAACTATGCAAATTTGCCCAACATCGAACCGCAGCCCCCTGGTCGCTGAGGCCTTCGCGCTTAAAGGCAGAGAACGCGGATTCGCTGGCTGAGTTTTGCCGGCAACAATCGGGGGCATGTGGTGATAGGAACGCGCCCCTCATTGGCTCGCTGCGTGACGGGGCGGGGCCGAGAGGACCGCCCCTCCCCTTGCATAAAACCCGGGAGCGGGGGCGAGGTTCCTGCTGCAGTAATTTTCGATAGCCTCCGGTGGAGACCCTCTTGCGTGGTCCGTTCCCACCGGACGGCCGTCGACCCTTGGCGCTGCTTCGTGCATTTTCTCCTGAAAAAGACGACAAAGGGCTCCTAGAGCCGAGGCCGGCCATGTGAGTAGCAACGGGACGGACGCTCTCGTCGGTGCTTGCCTACCTGGGATGCGCGGCCGGTTTTCCCGCACGGTTGCGGCGCTTGCCGAGTTGCGCATTGCAGCATCGCCGCCCGCCCCCTCCTCTCCCTTTCTCCTTTTTTTTTTTTTTTTCCCGGTAGTCCGGTGCCGAAGCGGGATGGAACTGGGACGGATGCCTCATCCCATCTGGTGGCTCCGCAGTTTTCCTTGTGGCAAGCGGGTGCTTCGCCATCTCCCCGTCCCCTCGCTGCGATTCCTGCCCCCGGCCCCTGAATAGTTTTCAGGCGAGAGATATCCGGTGGCCGGAGGCTCCAGCGGGTTTCTTGAGTGGTAATATAGGTGGCAATGGAGGAGAGGGGCATTTTCACAGAACTTTAGAAGGCATCTTCGAAAAGGCCATTTTTTTTTTTTTTTTTTGCCTTGCGTACAAGCCGGGACTTAAAAGTTTATGTACCGGTATATTAGCGCAGGCGATTGTCCCTGTATGAAGAAATAAAAACGCAGCACGAGTTTTGTGTGACCAAACTCTGCTTGATACGGCTTTCTCCTAGGAGGTGCATGTGTGAACCCGGGTAATAAGATAGCTGGTTAATTTCAGAAGCATTCAAGTTGGCCCCCTAATAATAACTGCTGAAAGAGCAATTTGATGATGGAGGAGGATTCATCATTGAAAAGAGAAGCAAATACTGGTGTATGCGCAGGGCGCTTGCGTGCAAATGACTGCAGATATTTCTTTGCTTGTGGAACAGAAAGTTTGAAGTTTTGTTCTGTTTCTTGCCTTTTCCATAATTGCATTTCTCCAGTCTCCTCCTTCATCTGTGGGATAATGGCAAGATTGCTTACCGAAACATTGTCTGAAGCTTCTGATGGCATTTTTTGCCAACCTGGTCATTAATTAGTCTGTAACCTTCATGAGTTTTTCCCACTGCCCCCCCCCCCTGGAAAATTCATGGTTGTTTATCTAAACTGATTTATTTGATGGTTTCTTTGACCTATTCCTCCTCCTGCAGTAAAGCCAAATATATCTAGCAATGTTACTTATTGGTAAATGTTTCTGTCTCATGACACAGCAGTTCTTTTATGCTTGCGGACTTGCTTTTCATTTATCCATTAAAGTTCTAATTGTTTCTGTTAACATTACTCAAGTAGTACATTGTATGAATTCAGCACACTTCATAATCAGTGTCTGATAATGAGTCAAATAATAGTGTCTTATAGAAGATGATGAGAGGGTTAAATAATCCCCCCCTTTCTTAAAAAAATTGTTGCTGAGGTAAGGGGAGAGTTGAGTGAACATGGCTGTGTCATCTTACTTGCATTTTCTCGGTGAGGAGACACTGCTATGACTTGAATTTAGCAGCTAAAATGAGTTGTCACAACCGTGCCATTGAACCTTCACTTGCCATGCACTGGATTTCCATTAAATTTTGCCTACGATGCTTGTTGTGAACTCTGCTTCAGTTCTTTGTATCCTCAAGAGCCCAGATGAGTCAGAGCAATGCTCCAATATATCTCCTGACTTGTAATTGAATTGTAACACCTGAACTGCTCTAGTAGTGAGATGGGTAGCATATAAATTAAATAAATAAATAGTTGTTCTTGGGGGAGAGAAAGACTACATCTGAAATATAGTTGCGTCCTTTGATTTAATAGTTTATTTATTTATTTTATTTAGCGTATGACACATGTTAGCCAGGGATCACCGAGGTGGCTGCCTGCCTCTGTGAAAGGATTTTTTCAGGCAGTGTTATCTTTATCCCCGGGACGCCTGAATACAGGTAGGCATTCGGGGAAGGCTCCTTTCTTGTCCCTATGCGGTTTATTCGCGCACAGGAATCGAACCGCCAAGCTGCCAACCTCAGCGGTGCAGAGGCCTAGCATCTTACCATGTGAGCTACTTCGGCCCCTGATTTAATAGGTACTGAACCCATTCTCTTTTACATTCTCTGATATTTTTCACTACTTCTTGCATTACTATCAGGCATTTGACATTTATTTGTTAGATCTAGAAAGCCACTACTTCTAAATCCTCTGGATTAACAATTAATAAGCAGTACAACAATGTAAAATAGTGTGAATTATATTATTATACAAGTACATGCTTGTTTATGTTAGACCTAAGTCTTCCAGCTTCCTCTTAAGGTCCTTTTGCTTTAAAGATGAACAGATCAGGAATCTGAATGGCCCAGTTCTTTGGAAAATTTGAATAAATTTCTCTTTGTCATTTCCATGTTGTAGTGCTTGGGTTTCTTGTGTGTTGATAATAAGCCTGTAGCTAAATTACAGTTGTATATATTAATGTTCTGGTTTCTGGCTGAGTATTGGACATAGGCATCTGCATAATCTCTCGTACTTGACCTGTCTCCACAGGTCTGATCCAGCTCAGCAAGATGCCCCAGGGACGGGACAGGAAGGAGGTGAAAGTGCTGGGGGGGGCCCTGGTGCACCTCCAAATATGACCAGTAATTGGCGCCTGCAACAGACTCAAGCACAGGTGGAAGAAGTAAGTGAATAAAATGGTTCTTTGTGATCCTCTGCTGTCGGTGAGAGACTGGCCATGCCAGGGGAAGGAGTCAAATGGGGAATTAGTCTGGAATTTCTATGTAGGCACAAGAGAGCTAGGTCTGACTTCTCTTGAATGCCATTGAACCTTATCTGGTTCAAGTATAAACTGGCAATCTGAGAAGATTCTTGTGTCATAGGCATGAATTACAAAATAGCTAATTGAATTATTCACGTGTGGATCTGATTGTTTATGGCTGACATCTGCTTTCTCTCTTGCTAGGAAGCTAATTATTCTTTCTCTTCAGGTGGTGGATATTATGCGTGTGAATGTGGATAAAGTTTTGGAGCGAGATCAGAAACTCTCAGAATTAGACGAACGAGCAGATGCTCTCCAAGCTGGTGCCCAAGTATTTGAAAGTAGTGCCGCAGCGCTCAAGAGGAAGTATTGGTGGAAGAATTGTAAGGTGAGTAAGAAGTGAGCAGCTTATTGAATGTATAGCTGCTGAGGCAATCCTACTTTTAAAAATATTTTTATTGCAAGAAAATGTTACATTAAGATTCTTTCCATAGGAAAGAAGGACACATAGAAAAAAATATAAAAGAATAAAAGAAAAGTGAAAGATAACAGAAGAAAGAAAAAAGAAAGAAGCAACTTCTGATCTTTTCAGCACTTACATAGTAATAAACATTTCTGCCCATCCCCCCAAGTTACATATCATGGTTCCCTTCTTCCTATAAACAAACTTTTTAAATCCCCAATTCATTTTTATCCATTTCAGCCAAACATCTGTTCAGCGTTTCCAGTCTTTTATATAAGTAATTTTCCTACTTTGTTATAATAAAACCACAGTGTATTTCCTGAACAGGGGATGGAGACCCATAGATCAGAAATAGAGCCAATGTTTTGCATGCTTAAAGTTATAGGTTCAGTTTGGAATATTTCCAGGTAAAAACCCTGGCATGTCTGGGAAAATATAAATGGGAACCTGGAAATTGATGCCCGACAGAATAATGAGTACTGGGATAGTTGGATCAATGAACATGAATATGGACTTGGAATAAACAGTTTCAAGTGGTCCATTGTCCATCTTTGTTGGAGACCTTGATTTTGCCAAAGGAGATGTTGTATGAGGGTTCTCTATGGGCTCATTGTAATTCTTCTCTTTAGATGATGATCATGCTGGGAGTGATCTGTGCCATTGTGGTCATTGCAATTGCACGTAAGTACTAAGGGGAATCAGAGTAGCTGAGTTTGTGAGCCACAAACATTGGCTAAACAACAATGTTTGCTTTCCCTCTGGCATGGGAAATGGTACTGCTTTTGTCTCTCAGCACTGTTGAAGGCCAACAGATCAGTAACAGTTCTGCCTTTCGAGATCATGAGATATATCACTTGCTGCATGAGAGGCAGGCAGAGAGGGGGGTGGTGGTGGGATTTCCTTCTCCTGATGCTCAACGGTGTTTGTTAAATGTGGGATGCTTGGTGTAACATGCCCTCTGTTTTCTCCTTTCTCTTCCTTCTGTTGCTTCTGTTCCTAGTTTACTTTTTTTCCTGAGAATGTGTCCCTTCCTCCTTTCCCCACCCAGTCTATAGCCTTCTTACCCCATTTCCCTTTCCAGACCCAATTCTTCGTTCTCTTTCCTTTCTGGCTTTGTCATCGATTTTCTGTTAGTTTTGTTTGCTTCCATTTGAGACTGTAACGCACCGTTACCAGATTTGAGTTGACCTCCTTCACAGCTGCTGCAGCCTCTGAGTGGACCAGCTCGTTTTTGGAGGGTGGCAGTGGGCCTAAGGGGAGGAATTGTGGAGAATTGAAGGAGCCTGTTGATTACACCTAGGGTTTCACTTGCAGTCTGAGATAGCCTTGAGTCTTCTGAGATGTCTTCTCCCGTGAGTCTATAGGAAAGCATTTCCTTTAGCCACAAACAGTATTATTAAAAACTTCACCAGAATAGAGAGAAGAAAAGTTGGGTCTCATTATAGTAGTGATACTGGTATTGTGCCATGCAACCAGAATTGATGGAGTTTTCTCTTAGATTTTAATATAAACTCCTGTTGTTGCTCTGGTGACCAAAACTCTGATCTTATGATGACTGCCAGCCATCCTTTACTGCAGTGGCCCCCAACCTTTTTTGTGCCGCGGCCCGGTACCGGCATCACAAAATCATCCGCGGCCCGGTACCAGCATCAGCACGCATGGCAAGGCGAGCCGAGCCGAGCGACCGGCCAGCCATCCGTCCCCCGCTTCTCCCCGCCACCTTCAACTCCTCCTTTGTACCTGTGTCGATGGGCTTCGCGACAGCTTTGGGACGGTCGCTTGGCTCGCCTTGCCATGCGTGCTGAAAGAATCCTCGCGCCTTAGTTTTGTTCGAAGCCGCCCCCCCCCCTTCGATGAAACTAAGGCGCG